CCTTTCTCCTTATTCTCTCCAGTTAGTTTTCATACTCCTGATTCTGTTCTGCCTTCCTTCCTCGTTTCGATAGCCAAGAAAAATTTACTTTACCTAATTACTGTTCAAACGTTGAACATTAATAATATCTTCTTGCTCTTGCTCCTTGCTTCGCATGGTTCGCAAAGTACGAAGTATTATATTTCCTTAATTAATGTGAAAAATGAACAATTTCATATGGGGCGAAAAATGGGCCTAAAGGACTTGTAAAAATACATTACGATTTATCGGAAATTTTTAAAACGGTGGTGAACACGTTTTAGTTGATTCTTTCAAATTTCATTATGAGCACTCACGTAGGAACAATTATTTTTGGTAACGTTAGAATCTTTAGCTAAAAGCAAATGAATAGTGATAAAAGTGGAACAAAGAGGGTAACGTTTCACGAGAATGACCAATTTAAGTTTCTTGACTCCATCATCTGCAGTGATGACACCATCCAATTGTTAATTCGTTAAATAGGAAGATCTCCGAGTCTCGAATGTTCCTGGAAACCCGTCAAATATTCTTCCTTGAGGAAGAAGTGTCACTTATCAAATATCTACGCCTCAGCTCAGTGTTGTTGCACGGCGTGGAAATGGCTCGTCTAACCAACGGACAAGTCAGACGGTTGAACCGCGTACACAGCGTTGACTTCAACTCCTAATCCGGAATAAATGCTAAGGCCACGTAACAGAGGTTTCTATTCACTTCCGGGCACAGGCCACCTCGGTAGATGTGGACATTAAGAAAAGGAGGGTTGGCCTGTCAGACAAACTGATCGAGCATAGACCATTAACTCGAGCCCCTGAGCTTTACTTGTGGGAGCCGAAACACGGCGGACGTCGGCCATGAGACCAGAGTAGAAAATGAACTAACAAGATTGAGGTGATCAGTTTACGGAGGGAAATATTTTTATGGTCAGTAAACAACGCCTCATAACGAAAGTGTTGAAAAGCTATGAATTCGAGGGTCTTCTTAAACCAGACGAGTTCTGCTCACACAAGTGACTGAATGTAATGAATCTGCCTCCATTATTGCTTTTAAGCATTTTATCTGCGAGTGGTATAGTCACTTCCATGTGGCTACTGCCATTATTTGTTCTGCCAGTTTTTATAAAAACGTGTTCTTACTTGATAGCCGCTGTTTGCCATCTTAACAGGATGCGTAATTGCCTCTGAAATAGCTGCTCCGTCACTCTGATTCACCACTCTCGTGTCGCGCTTCGTTTGGTGCTTCTTCAATTCGCCGCCCTCCATCCGACCGACCGGTTAGCATATTCTAAGTCCTGATGCCAGACAACATAAGGCTGTGCCTATGTGGTATTTCTTCGGAAGAATAAGTAAAGACGATGGCAGACCTCAATTCTTTTGTATGAGTTTCTACAAGACAAAAGTTGTTTCACGCTGATTTATGGCAAGTAGAGTCGAGCAGCCCTTGGAAAGGCTGAGTCATGAGGTTACTGAGAAATTTGAGACAGCGAGTTGCAATTATAAAGC